TAATTGAGAAAAATAATGAAAAATCGAAAAAGTGAAATATTTGTAAAAATTGAAATATTTGAATGAGCAAAAGTAAATATGACATTAAAATGTGGTCACAGAACTAATTTAAATATATTTTGGTAAATTAAACAAAGTGTAATAACAAAAACAAATTTTGTTTTACTAATGTTAGGTATTATAACTTAACACGTCATAAAACAAATCCGTGTAAATTACTATTATGCAATAAATAGTCAGGTAATGTGTGTATGAGTCATGGAAGGTTTTTTCAACTTAAAAAATGGATATTTTAATTGTTATTTTATGTTCTAGGGATAATTAAAATAACCATTTCTGAAGCCGAAATAACTTTTCATGACTCATGCAAACCACCTATTTGTTGCACAATGATATTTTAAATGAGTTTGTTTTATGACGTGTTAAGTTATAATACCTAACATTAACAAAGGAAAATTTTTTAGTTTTTTGCATTTTGTTTAACCAAATATTTTGGTAAGTATTTTGCTTACCAAAATATATTTAATCAGTTCTGCAATCGCATTTTAATGTTATATTTACTTTTGCTATTTCTTCAAATGTTTAATTTTCATAGATTTTCCATTATTTTTCTCGATTAAAAAATTGGATGTAACAGAGTAAAACAGCTTAGAAATTTGGATTCAGCGATCCAAAATCTAGAAAAAACACCTCTGGTTTTGGTTCTCTAAAAATTTTTTGTGATCCTGTGTAATTTATATAAATTCTTATTTGCAAAAAAAACAAATGTTAAAATTAAAAATCTGTATAAAGTATTGCATTACTTACTGGTCCCATGATTGTTGCCTGCCAGTGGAATACTGGAAAAATTAGGTTAAACAATTACATGCAAGTTATAATTAAATCATGAGATAGCTTACATATTTACTTTTATAACATTTAATAATAAATAATCATTTCTTTCTAATAAAAAAATCGAAATAATCTATAATATATATAAAAAATTCCAATTAACATGGTAAAGTACTCTAGTTTCAAGTTTATAATCTATGACTTGAGCTGTATTCCGATATATATTGTTAAGACATTTGTCTATTTGTTTTTGTTCTCCGAAAACTTCTCTGTTCTGCAACTAATCAACATGCTTGAAAAATTTGTCATACAACAAAGCCAATATATCAAAGTATTAAAAATCTACATAGTTCATGTTATGTATATTATAGATTTTTAGCACTGACAATGTATATCGGAATACAGCTTTGGTACATCAATATATTATTTATTTTATATTATATTTATTTATTGTTTAACATAGTACTTACGATCATCTCCTACAGGTCCAGCCGAGCATTGCGCTGGCGGATCTCTGCCAAGGTCCTGGAGTTCCTGAAATTACAAACAGATAATAGTGTTACAAAAATGTCAAAGTATCTACTGATTTATAAAAAAATAATATAATACAAGGCACCTAATTACGAATATTTTAATTAGAATGGAGATTTATATTTAAAATAAATAGATCCTATTTGCTTTTCAGTATACTCTACTGCAACAATTCCAATTATACATCATACCATTATTCTATAATCAGCTTTGGTATTTATACACATATATACATGATTCTCTTGGCAATAGAACCTTCTAGATTCACGTACATATACAGTAATTGAACAAGATATCACTGTATAATAATGGGAATTCCCAAGACAAAGTTATTTGTTGCCCTGCAATCTTATTTACAGTATCTTTATGACAAAGATCAGACTAATTACAGTATATTAATTGTTCAAGTATTCTACGAGCCTACGATTGTTATTAATATCATCACATCATAGATGATCAAGATGAAATAAAAGTAATAGCTTTATAGCCTTGTTTTTATAAATCGAGCTCTCCAGTTGCTCCGTATCAAACACCATTCTATACAGTATCGCCATACAAATGACAAATCAAACATTATTGGCACTCATAGAACGTGGAGCTGCACCATGTCAAGTAATTCACTTTATGTATCTCGAGACTTTCACAGCAGGCCACTGAAAAAGGTATCTTGCTAGTCACCACGAGGTATCTGCATGATGCAAAGCAGTATAAAAGGCACAAAAGACCAGCGAAGAGCACCGAAGGAGAAATCGCGAGAAGAATGTACGAGCCGGCGCGTGGGGATACGGTGCGGATCGCGTGTTACTTCGGAGACCTCGCGGTACACGGAGCACACGAAATTGAGCAAATCCGTCCCGAGTTCTCACTGTCACCGAGGAGTGACGAGCGCGAGGCGAGCCCGGGTGACGGGCATTGGCGTCGAGGGACGACGATTCGCGCGGGTCCTAGATGCGCACGGCACGGCACGGCACAGCACGACACGGGACGGGACGGGACGGGACGGGACGGTCGCCATCTCCGCGCGGCGGAACACGACCGTCGGGGTCGACGACGGCGAGGTTGCCGCGCCGAGACGAGACGGTTTGGCGTGATTCTTCCAACGCTCAAACACCCTGTCTTTCGCACCAGCTCGACGAGGAAGAGAGAGAGAGAGAAATCGTTAAGGGGCGTACGGCCGGGCTTGGAACACATTTATACGACACAGGACGACAACGCCCGGCCGTACGCGTGGCCACGCGGCACCAACGCCGACCAGCCTCCACGTACCTTATTAATTCGCTTTAAAGCCATTTGATGAACTGTGTGTTGATATTAACTGGCCGCAAAACCAGACAGCGATACGCGCTTGCCGTGGATCTTTGATTAGGGATTGCAAGATGGCTGCCTTCTAAACGTAGGCCGACTGCGCTGGTCAAGCGCGCTGTCGCGATTCGCACCGTCGGAATGGTCGGAACACACGACGCGTCACGTATTTCCACACGGGAGGTGTCCGCGCAGCGAGATCCTCACGGGCAGATACGGCGCAGTTTCGTATTTTTATCGCGCTGCTTTTTCGCCACGGCCGGGGAACGCTTCGCGGACGCGGCCTTTCGATCTTCCAACCGGGCCACCGTTCAATTTCCTTTTGTCGGCAATCAGCGGATTCTCACTGCACACGAGCCACCGCCGACAGATGACGCGGCACGACGCGACGACCCGACCCCCGGCCTCCGTTCGCCGTTCGCCGTTCGCGTTCGCCCGTTCCGTTCGGTTCGACCACGTTCGACCCGGTACGCATTATACCCTGCGCCGCACACGCATCGTGTCGTTAGTCGTCGATCTCCTATGTACACTCTGCGTCGAAAGTGCTCGAAATTAAAGGTCGAGTCAGTCGAGTCAGTCGAGGATCGAATGATGTTGAGAGGAGAGAGATCGGATTTATATTAAGTACGAATAACATTCTTTTCTCCTTGTCTAACTGCCTCTACTTTTCAACAGCTTGTTTAACCGTTCAAGATATTTCACTACACTCTAACAGAGGAATGACCTTGCCCGCTTGTTGCTTGTCATTATGGTGAATAGATTACTCATGCTCGCGAGCATGCCTGAAAGATATGGTCATGCTTTTTGATGAGAAATATTACGAAGATATGTTGCACGAGAAGACAACAATCGTAAACATCAGTAGGAACTCTTCTCTTCGAACCGCAGAGGTCTAATATATCTGTTTTATGTTGACGAGTCCAATAAACATGCGCGCGCGATTACACGAGGCGACAACGTGTGTCGCTTGTATTGGTTCTTCAGTTATGACTCCAACCGGTTTTCTCAACGAAATGAAAATTCTAGAAAAAAATTATTACGTATTATAGAACGGTTAGGAACGAATTCCGATTAGAATTATTTCGTAGAAAACATAGAAATTTAGGGAATAATTGATGGGATGGGCGGAATAAAGGTCTAATTAGGAATCTTGATATTAATAAAAATTAAAATAACTTGTTACTTTTTTATTATACACAAATGAGTATAATATCAAATGAATTTATGTAATGTCTTTAAGAAGTTACATGTTACAATGCTTCCCTATTACGATCAATATTACACGAAAAAGCTAATTGCCAGAAAAGGGGTCTAAATAGAATTATGCCTTTATATTCCGCCCATCCCCTCAATTGAACAATTCTGATGAAATCTATAATACGTATCGAGGAACGTTTAGTATTTTCCTCGTATGTGCTATTGAGACATTAAACGAGATAGTATATAATATCTCGCAGGTAGCTCAGCTTCGAGATAATGACTTCAGGTTTTCTTGATAAATCTATACTATAGTATGATGTAACGAAACACGGTGAATATTCATCACAGAAATTGATCTGTCATTCGAAATTTGTATATGTATTATTATATAATAACCGTCGTATATGTGACGTTACCACGATCCAAAACGCATTACGTAATCATACACTATACTATCTATAAGAGAGATTTTGATCATCTATAATCTATATATGTAGATATTATTTATATAATCCAATAACTCTCTCCGTCGGCAATGTAAAATTTTCATCCTTCGTCTACAACCTAGAACTTCAATGCAGATTTTCATATTGTTCCGGACTGTATAGAATGCTGAAAAAATTCTTACATATTCATAAAAGACTTAATGAGTTTTTATTATCGTAGAAACTGGATTGCATTTTACTTTAAATTCTTTGCAGCGTTTTAAAGATGCAGATTAGTATCAATAATATTAAATTACTTATCAATTTAACTTGCAAAATTACATACTCCAACCTCGGTCTAGAATTGTATTTAAATTTCATAAATAATCGGCACTTGCTTAAACTGGCAACTGTAGAAATTCATTAGTCATCGAGAGATTCGCTTTAATATACTCTCTTTACTCATTTGTATTGTATTTCATTAATTTTTTTATAGATTTAAATTCATATAAAAAAATTCATAATATAAAAAAAATTGCCGATGAAGGATGAATATAAAATTTGAGGATATAAAATAAATGATAAAATCAAACGATAAAAGTGGAATAATTTAATGAAACATATATAATGTAATTTTTTTAATCTTCAAACACAATACAAGTCCACTATGAAAAAAACTACAAAAAAACTAGATAGTTAATAAATAAACAATTAAACGAAGCTGCTCGCGTCCACGTTCACGTCGATCGTTCCCTTCATTATCACAAAATGGGGTTGAAAAAGTAAAAAAGAATAAATCAACAAATATACAAGAGCCGACCGCGTCGAGAGCTCGTCGCAACCATGCCGATCACGGCAGGACGCAGCAGACTCCAACAATTGTGCGCGTGCCGCAACAAAATATACGCCCATCAGAAGAAAAAACCGAGAGACCGTTGCAAGAGGAAGAGGCAGGCCTTCGTATACAATCCGAAGGAAGAGATCTGGCACGAGCCCTACATGCAATCGCTCCGTCGTGAGTTCTCGGACGAGTCTGTGTTGTGCGACTCCAAGATCGAGCTACCCTGGAGGGACATCGCCCTACGATCGGCGATGAGGATTCGTCCCGACTCGACGGCTGTCGAGGCCGATCGGGAGGTGGACGAGACTGAGACGAGGACCATCGACAGCGAGAAGCGAGAGTCCACTGGAGTCATGACGTTGCCGTGGCAGGACCTGCTCATCACGGAGACTCTGCGAAGCACGTTGGACGAGCCGGAGCTCTGCGACTCCTCGGTGGAGATACCCTGGGCCGACCTGGCGCTGGAGAAGCCGGTGGAGATACGACCGTCGCGGGAGGAGCGGACCTGCGTGACCGACGACGTCGAGATTCCCTGGACCGAGATCCTGATGCCGCGTAATATCGTCATCAGATCTGAAAGGAAGCGAAAACATCCCTCGTCCAAACAACCACCGCGACCGCGTGCTGACGCAATGTGCATCCCTTGTGGCAAGCCTACCTGCTGCGCGAGAATCCGCCCGAAAACTCGCATAAATCCTGGCGAGAGTGTTGCGGGTTCCAATTGGATTGTCGCCTGCATGTAGAGCTATGTGTAAACACTTATTTGCTGATTTGATTAAATTTCAATATCTAAACTCAAAAAAATTACGTATCGCTTTAATATTAATATTGCTACGTTTAGCAAGGTGAGCGTTCAGTGATTCTATATTACAAGTAAATTCTACACTTCCCTTACACAGAAATGTAATAATCAATTTATTATTAAAAGACAACAATTACTTATTTAGAATATTAAACTGAGCAACATGCAATTAATTACTGTCTTTTTATATTGTCAATTTTGTAAGAGTTAAATTCAATAAAGAATTGAAAGCAAGAACAAATTATATTAAAGAATCACTGAGCGTTCACTGAGCTGCTTTGTTTACCGAACATATAGCCATTGGCTGTGTTCAACAGAAAAAGCAGCTTTGCAATTGTAAGATTATTTAATATGATTAGTTATATAGTTATTTAGATATTTACATCCATTGAGGAACTAAGGGCAAGTGAAAGAATTTACAATAGTTACAATTTTATTTTATTTAGCTATCATTACAGTTATTTTGTCTGCTAAAACATAGCCATTGCTTCTCTCATAAATTTCACTCGTTCCAGTAATCTAAATAGCAACGTTTACATCGAACATTTGTAAAAGGAAGTAATATTACTAACCCAAACTGAAATAATAACGATGCAAAACAATGTAAGGTTACACTTAGTAAAAATCGCCGAGAAAAAGTTCAATTTGCATTTTAAAACCTTGATCTGTTTATTTTACTTGCTGGATCTTGCGTTACCAGATTATTATCTTTTTCGAGATCCTTATAGCATTAACGTAACAAAGAAAAGTAAAGACCTTGAGATGGTCGAAAATGCCTTTTGAATCAAAATAAATGAATTTAATTTATCGCGTACGAAACGAAATAATTATCTTCGAAAATTTATTCACGAAAGGACAATGAAACCAACAGTATCGATTAAACGAAAGGTATGTTATTATTTGTTTATCGTTTTGTAAAATCGATAGAAACACACATTGAATGCTTTTCCATTTAATAACACAAGTCGACACACATGAGTATCGTTCTGTCTTCGCTATTTCTGGAATGCCAAGAGAGATAAAAAGACACTTGTGTTGTCTTTTGTATCATTAAATGGAAAGCTATCCATTGTTTTCCTTTCCTGTTTACACGCGAGCGTTCGCCTTATCAACAGAGTGAAAAGCTGAAAACCGGAGTTACCGGAGTCGTGTGTAACCGACATCGTCGAGCGACGTGAAGTTGGTGGCGCCCCCGCGTAATCTCGATAATTCGCCGCGCTTCGGCAGCCATCGGATCGCGTCGGATTGAATCGGCTCTCGTGATCCGCGAGCAGCCAGTCGGCACTTGTCAGCGAACGCGTACGGAGGTTTATCGTGAGCACGCGCAAGAGAGATTCAACCGCGAGCGTCGTGCGAACAAACGAAAATGGCGTAGTGATCGGCGAGCGTGAGTGTTTACCGTCCTGCCACCCGCGTTTTCACAAACAGCCGTGTGTTTGCCGCCATTGGAAACGCCGTCGTCCGAGCGCGAGCGATTAGGTTACCTTCTCCTGCGGGAACAATCGAGGCGAGGAGTGCGCCATGATCGAGTCGGGACGACGAACCCGGCGACGTCGTTAAGGTGATTACTTATGCAGTGTGTATCCCGAGTGTGCTTTGGTGAGTCGCGCGCGTCGAGGCAAGGAATCCCGAGACGGTCGATGTCTTAGCCGTCGTCGTTGTCGCACGCCCGCCAACGACGACGCTGACGCGAACGACCTAAACGTCGCGACGTGACGCGACGTAACGTGACGCGACGCAACGCGACGCGACGCGACGCGACGGGTGTCACGGCGAGTACGTGTATCCGGCCGCGACACGTGCATGAACCCCGAAAAAGCAGACGAGGGATGTCCTACGCAGCGGCCGCAACTAGGATTCGGTGATCCTGCCTGCTCGTGACAGTTCGACGACTCGCTCCGATCCGGGCGAGACCAAGATGGCGCCACCGACGTTCTGACACTTGCCGAAGGACGACCCGTCAGCTGGACTTCACCGCCGCCCGCAGGCGACTCGTCTATTATGAGTAGAGAATTCTACGTGCCCTGCGTCACACCTTACGTCTATCAGGTGAGACCCTAATACTTGATCGATTCTGTCATTGTCGAGATTTAACCCTTACCGTACTAATATGGGTAACTAGTGACCGAGTGATTCCTGTTCGTGCAAGTTTCTTTGAGTCTTTCAGTAATTATAAATTATACTTTATTTTATTATTTTCCAAAATAAAGAGTCAATATTTATTCTAGAAAGTTGCAAGTATGTTGGTGAATTTTTAGAGATTTTTTTTTATTATTTTGAAGAGGTGAAAAAACGAAGAGATTTGAAGTGACCCTTGATGGTATGGATGAGGCACCAAATTGTAGATGGTATGGTAAGGGTTAATAATCTCGGGTGCTTGCAACTCAATGGTTTGCGTAAAAGATTATGCGAGGCTCATATCATTCGTGTGTATCGCACAGTGAAAGACATCTTGTCACTTACGGTCAAAATCGGACGTGTTGGAACAATATATGTATGTATTTTTTATTCCAACATCCGACTTTGACCGTAAGTGACGCTTCTCTTATTTAACTGATTTATTCCGTGATTTGTTTCTAACTTATTATTGTTTTGTGTTTGCGTTAGAAACGGTCCACTCAAGTCTTATAATTTTGTATTGAATTTTTAACATAGTATCATCCGAGTGCAAATTCAACATACTTAATGATTGTGTTATAATCGTGTCTCCTGATTTTGTTTTCGTTCGCGTCCCAATCGCTCGTTTCTCGATTCTGTGTCGAGTTTTGCATCGCGATGGTTTATTTGGCTCGATTCCCGGTATCGAAAAATTCAATATTTTCAACTTCCTTGCTCGAGATTTGAAAGCGACCATGTTGTCGATAAGTTTTCTTAGTGGTTTTAGTATCGATCGTAATGTTTACTAAGGAGAACCGGTAATACTCCGAGAACGCTCTTTGTAAAGGAAAACATAATAAGAAATCTATACAAACATGAATTCGACGGCTGTAATTACATTTACATGACAGTCACGCGTGCGATAGTTATAAACGTGGGCTTTAAAATATTTGTTTTTGTTATTTGTAAAAACTTGAATTATAGACGTTTATCAATTTCTTTGTATTGCAGTTTCTTATTAATAAGTATATTCTAATTACACTCCTGTAGGTATTCTAATTTGCCATATCAAATTCTCTTTCGTTTCAAATTATCACGTTGAAATACGTAGAAATTTAATTTATTTAATAAATATAATATAAATATAATACATTCGCTTTTATATTGCAATTTATTTTTATTATTTATAAAGACTTTAATTAATAAATGTTTTTTAAATTTATTTCTATTGTAATTTTTTATCAGTATTAAAATATTCCTACAAATATTCTATTTTATGACAGCGAGTTTCTTTTTCATTTGAAACTATTGCGTTGAGAAATGTGGAAAATATGTATAAGATGTTACGTACAAAATATTATTATCCAATAATAAAATATTGTCATTATCCAGCTTAATTTGCCATGGCAAATTGTGCACTCGGATAGGATATCTATTCTACTATTTTCTATAATTTAAAGTCTCGTTATTCTAACTATTCTATATTGAGCGTTTAAAGCATCTGTATTAACATTAATGATGAGGAACAAAAGCCAACCGACCAGACGCAATGGTCGATATCTAAACGTGCGACGTTCAAATTGATAAGTAGAATTGTGATAAAAGAGGTTTTATCGACGATGTGATTCAGAATTCAGATATGAGTAACACAATCAATAAGGAAGCCTCGAAGAGTTCGGATATCCCGAAACGACAAGATCCCGTGGATCATACATCCGTTAATCATTCCGATAAAAAATCTCTATTCTCCATAATGAAACAGAAGGTGAGAATATAATATTTGGGATTCCGATAGAAGGAAGTTGAAAGATAATGTACATGTTTGAAGAGAAGTATCCAGATATTTTGCGGTCTAAGCAACAGTTCTATTTTCGATCACTTGGTCAACAATTTCGGTTTTTATATATGAAGCGGTTTATATTGCAATATCAGTTCAAGAATAAGTTACTATTTTTTATCTCTCATATCCCGTTAAACATTTGACGTGTAATACTTGTATTATTCGGTACCTATTACATTTTTAAAATAAGTGTAAATAAAGCTGACTTCCAGAAAGTTTTATAGATAAAGGTCTAACTATATTTGAAGAATTTATGGTTAATTAAATGGAGAGAGAATTGTAGAACATCTCTTATGTTCTGATTTCTGTGATGTAATTTTTTATCATATTCTGTTACATAATTAATACAAGTTTTCCGTACTTATATAGAATGAATGATTTTGCCGAAAAAAATTTTCAAATCTATATCTATAATTTAGTTACATAGAAAAAACGTTATGGTTGCCACAACCGAAGATAATTAATGATATTTTTCACCCATCAATACAATTTCGTTATAAAAACTGTAGTAACGGTTGTTGTATAACTGTACTATAGTTTTTATAACCATCTTGTGTCAATGAACGAAAAATATCATTAATTATTTTCGGTTGTGGCAACCATAACGTTTCCATGTAGCTAAATTTAAGATACTTCAGTAAAATCATTGTTTCCGTGTATAATCGCATTAATTGTGGAAACTTTGACTTCATAAATGTCCAGTGACAAAATAAAATGTATTTTGAGTGACAATTATATAAGCCGATTAACAAAATATTAATTGAACAATTTAATCGGCTTTGCGACACGATGGAGGGGCGAAATATGTATTTTACCTTCAGGAGGAAACATCGTCTAATGAACACAATGCACAGATTAGATCGAAGCTGCCCACCTTTCATAATCCTTTGAGGCGTTTTATGAAATCGAAGAGTGAGAGGGAATCCGATTCCGAAGCGGAGAACGTGAATCACGGCGAAATTCGTCCGCGTGTCCTCGAGAAAATCGACGAACTTGCGAATGTTGACAGTGGTAAAAATATCACGTTTGATATCAACGAAGAAATATATA